ATAGATTCTCCAAAGAAGAAGGCTGTCACCCCACAAAAGCAAGCAGCACAATCAGAAGATGTTATCCCTCCTTCATTGGAAAAAAAGAAATCAAGTTACAGAAGTTTCATGCAGAGAGAAGGACCTAAGGCACTGGGAACTAAAGAAATACCAGAGGTAAGCCAAACTGAAGCTGGACAGACTTTCTTAAATGGACAGTTGAAGGGCTGGCTGCGAAAACAGACAAAGTGACTTTTTAGGGTATTTTTGAAATTTCCAATAAATTGAAAAAAATCACTTCAATCGAGWATTTTTAGTGTAAATTATCATGTTTTCTACTTCTTTATCATTAAAAAACTGGCTTAAAATTATGGACTGCACTCTTTCCTCCCCTCCCCTCCCTGTACCTGAGGTTAGGCTTAGGGCTAGTCTTCGGCAAAGCTTTGGGTTTCTGTAACCTAGGGCAACAATTGGGGTTCTGGATTTGGGGTTAGGGTTAGGGTTAGGGATAGAATACGATGGAAGGGTTAGGTTTTAGGGTTAAGGTCAGGGTTAGTTTTTTTGTCTAGTTTTAAGTGTTTTTTTTTTTTTTTCACATAAAGAAACATCCCCCCTCCGCCCACCCCTCAAAGTCTGCACTGTATACTTGATGATTGTCTAAGCTGTGCKCAAAATGACGCACATGGATAAAATACTTAGTTTGAAATTAAAGGGAAAGATGAAGTCATCAAAATGAAACCATTCAGTTTTGAAGCTAATTTACTACAGTGAAAATACCACTTTTTTGTTGTGATTTTCCCCACAGAATTCTACATAGATTTGAACAAGCGAATTACTGTTTGTACCAAAATTTAGTCCTACTTCTGTCATTTCAGCTTTTTCAATTTTTCATAAACATCTCATGCTACGGCTTTCTCTTTGGACACTGATTTAGAACATGTGTTTTAGCCAGATTCTTGCGCACAGTGAATTCTGGGTAAATAGTACACACGCTGTGAGCAACGATTCCGTCCAATCTGAAACAGAAATTTATATAAAGTCTACAGCCTTCTCGGAATTCTGCCAAAATTCAAGTCGTTTGTGTACCTCAATAGCCAAAACATCCAAAAATTACTGTGGCAGCTCCAAGAATTTGCCTTTAGACAGTCTTTTAAGTAATTCTCCTTAAGTGAAGGTCCAAGTTAATCAAAACAACCACGGAAAAAAAAAGCTTAAAAAGTCACACACCAAGCTGGATTCTTTCAGCAAGTAAGCTCACTCGCTACCTACAAACTTAATGATGTCCATATAGTAGTAACTAAAGGCAAAAAGGCTGAAAAAAAACACGAAAAAACGCATTTCTCAACTTCTTAAAAACACATTTCTCAACTTCTTGCAGTACAGCTTCGAACCAAAATAAACCAACTGTCAAAGTCATGAGTTTAGTGCAAATATGCCAGTCTTCTGTAACTATGGGTCTTTTTTCCTCTCTTTAGAAAGAAATCAGGATAAATAAGTTCTAAATAAGATTATTTAGACTGAAAATAAGTGCTTGAAGTGATTTTCTTTCAATTTATCGAAAATTTGATCCTAAAAAGTTTTGGCTGTTTTTGCAGCCAGCCCTTCATTTGAATTATCATCAAGCAATGCTGTAACAAGGGAAAACATGCAAATCAGATGCAACAGGGCAAGGTTGATGGAGTTCTGTGTGAAAATGCCTGTTGAGGTTTAGAACTCAGATAGGAATAGGTACAGCAAATCAGTTGTGCATTTATTGCATTACTTAATGAAATATCTGGTCTATTCTTTATTGTGAATAAAAAGATGCTGTTATTTCCTCTAAATGATTATTTGCTGAGTCCATTCATAGTTACTTCTGGCATTGTCATGCTCAGTCTTGCCATTGTTTAATTGGTGACTCTCTCAAATTGTGAAGTACCAGTACATTAAACATTTTTCTATAATAAGTGTTTGTGTTGATTCCATTAGGGACAAGAAAACTGCTTTGAAGGGATGACATTTGTTATCACTGGGGTCTTAGAATCAATAGAAAGAGAACAAGCACAGGATATTATTCAAAGATATGGTGGCAAAGTTACAAGTGCTGTCAGCAAAAAGACCTCTTACTTAATAATTGGGAGAGATCCTGGAGCATCAAAGACGTCCAAGGTGCAGTCAACTTAATAATCTTGTTGCACTGTTGTACATGTAA